TAACTGCAGCCCGGAGATCTCCAAATGGGGGCGGGAACTCCAAAACGGGGTGGGAGCTCCAAAATAGGGCTTGGCTTCCTCCTATTGACAGACAGGCACATGACACGCAGGCACAATTTTCCCCCCAATCCACTTCAGTGCAAACTCCGCCCCACAGGTGATTCTAAAGATTTTATTGGTTGTGTCAATTAAAGTGTTGATTTCCTACATTACGCTACAAAAAATGCTAACCCCTAAAACCTACCCCACACCTGACCCTAACCTTAACCAGTGAAATTGACTGCACGGTGGGATTGGCGCTGAATAGCGTGGTAAAGAAAGTTGCAGTTCAGGAGATAAACAGTTAATAAGATTATGCGATATGAGATCGTTCCATAACTCCCCAACCGGACCTCACCGGACAATGGCCCAGCGTCACTACCCCCTCCTACCCTGCAAATTTCAAGCCCCGGGACGCACCCGTTGCTTAAAACAAAGCGATAGAGTAAAATCTTTCCCCTGCGCTGCGCTGGGAGAGCTCGTGGGTGATTCCCGTTTATATCATTAAGCAGAGGTTCAAACTCCAGTCCAAACACCACTGGTCACAAGCTTTGGACTCTGCTCTCACAGAGAATATTTACTTATATAGCATATTTTATTTTAGATGAACTAGAAACAATGTTACATTTCTAAAGTTTTATTTTGAAATGCAAGTCAATAACAATTGGCTGGAGCCAGAGCCAATGGTGAAAGTCTATGCGCGAGGAGACCCCGCCCCATTTTGGATGTTCTGCCTCCTTTTGGAGTTCACGCCCCATTTTGGAGATCTCCGGTCTGCAGTTATATCTACTTGAGTAAAAGGGGGCTGTGAGATCACCATTTCAAATCCAGTCTTAGTCACCGGCTTACTGAGAAACAATCCCTCCCTCCCTCACCCGCCCCGTCCAGCCCAGCCCAGCGTGACCTGACCTCCAACACATCCAAACATATCAGAGGAAGTCATTCAATGTCAGCAAAACCTGAAATAAGCATTAATGTTACAAAATATGCTGATTTAGTGCTCAATTATTTCTTATTGATGCTCAATTATTAACAATGGTTATTATTATCAGTGTTGAAACTTTTTTTTTACTGCATAATATTTTTGTGGAAACATCTTTGATTTGAAACTGAACTTTTTTTCTTCAATGTCTTTGCTGACACTTTATCAATTTAATAGGGCCTTGCTGAATAAATTTTATTCAATCATATATTAATTCATTCATTCCTTTAAGAATCTGATTGTGTATCACAATTTCCACAAAACAGCACAAACTGTTTTCAACACTGATAAAAATTATGAAATAATGTGTCAATGTAAATCTTGATATAAATTTAAATGTTTCTTGAGCAGCAGATCAGCAAATCAGAATGGTTTTTGAAGGATCATGTGACACTGAAGACTGGAGTAATGAGCTTAATAGTAAAACTGAACAGGAACTCCTGTCATGGAATACTGCACATACAAAACCTCACACTCTACTGTATTTTTCATCACTGACCCCTAGTTTCATCAATGAAAGAGAAGTTAAAAACTCCAGAAAACAAAAGCTTCAATGGGTTTAGGTTAAGACACGGCTGTGGGAGGAGGCTGTGTGTGGTAACATCTGAGGCCGAGCTGAGCTCAGAGGAGATAAGCCTCTTTAGCCGTACAATCCGCTGGCACTCTGTAGAACGCAGCACATGGGTGTGGAGGAAGGCCAGAGGAAGCTCAGGGATATCAAGACCTGATCTGTACATGCCCTGCTGCACCTATACCTCCCTTCAACTCAACATACATCACACAGTCTGATCGAATCATACGGGTGTGCTAACCCACGGTAAATCCCACAGGACCGCTGCAAGATTACAGCACAGCAGACACAGGATGTTATTAGAATATTACACCCCAAAAAAATCTGATTATGGGCAGAATCTCCTTGCAGATAAACTCGGCAGAATCATGATGCCTCGAAAAGTGATGTAGTGCTGGTTAGGATGAAAAACATTTAAAGGGCATATTCTACATGCAATGTAAGTAACACGATCAACACACAGAAACGTAGCAAGGAGATCTGTAAAATAGTCCATGTGACATCGGTGGTTCAACCGTAATTTTAAGAAGCTACGAGAATACTTTTTGTGTGCAAAGAAAATAAAAACAATGACTTTATTCAACAATTTGTCTCCTCCGCATCACCGTAGCGCCATTTTGAAGAGTATTACATACGTAACCAACGTATGCTGTTCTGTGTCAGCTGCGCCACGCGCATATGTTGTCTACCTAGTTTACGCTTTGATCTGAACGAAAACAACGTATCCATGAGCATACACTGTTTACGCATGTAATACTCTCCAAAATGGCACTACGGTGACTCGGAGGAGACAATTTGTTGAATAAAGTCGTTGTTTTTATTTTCTTTGCGCACAAGTATTCTCGTAGCTTCGTAAAATTATGGTTGAACCACCGATGTCACAGACTATTTTACAGATCTCCTTGCTATGTTTCTGTGTGTTGATTGTGTTACTTACATTGCTGTATATGGGAGGGTCAGAGAGCTCTTGGAATTCATCAAAAATATCTTAATTTGTGTTCCGAAGATGAACGAAGGTCTTACAGGTTTGGAACAACATGAGGCTGAGTAATTAACGACTGAAATTTTATTTTTGGGTGAACTAACCCTTTAAGTTTGTGCTGCGGATGAAATGATATCAGCTTCATTAATTATAAAGTGAGCACTCTTTGCTCACTTTCTTTATATAACCCGTTCATAAATTGAATAAAAGTTTTATTTTTCATGCTGCCAAGTACACACTGCAAAGTTTCAGGAGTGACGACCACATTAAAATGTGGGACTGAATCTGAAATTGCGATGTCTTACATTGTGATAACATTAATTCTTGCAGTATAAGTGCACTACACCTGCCACTTGTTCGGTTACCTGTAATAGGTTTCTTTGCTTTTTTTATTATTTCTTAACTGCATATTTAATGCAATGTTTACATAATTGGCCAATATTTGAAGGCTACATGCTAATGTTTTAACATATTATTTACTTAATTAATAGCAGTAATAATTAAAGGGGTCATATGATGCGATTTCAAGTTTTCCTTTCTCTTTGGAGTGTTACAAGCTCTTGGTGCATAAAGAAGATCTGTAAAGTTGCAAAGACTAAAGTCTCAAATCCAAAGAGATATTCTTTATAAAAGTTAAGAGTCAACCATGCCTACCTAAAACGGCTCGTTCTAACACGCCCCCACATATCTACATCACTATGT